CTTTCTGGCTTTGACTGACTCAGACTAGATGTGAGCTGTGGCAATTTTCTTTAGTTCAACTTAATACAAGACATTTTCCCCCATTATATGTTATTGTCTGGTTTTATTTATTTTGTGTTAAGAGAGGGAAGTCTTACTATGTTGCCCAGGCTGGACTCCAACTCCTGGGCTCAAGCAATCCTCCCACCTCAGCCTCCCAGGTAGCTGCAACTGCAGGTGTGTGCCATCACATGTGACTTGTTTTTACTCAGTTTTAAAATAAGAACTAGGAAACTTTCCTGGGTGGGAACTGACTGCAAGAATGTATCTGGAATTCTTTGGGTTGGTTCTCATTCTCCAGTGGATCACCCTTATGAGCACTGCAAACTCAGACTGAGGCAGTAGCAGCCCAAACACTAGTCAGTGCTTCATATCTGACCTTCTGTAGGAGTATATCTCAGGGAATCTCCCTGAGAGGGTGAAAGTTTTTTTTTCTTTTTTTTTTTTAAGCAGGAGAACCCATTGCAGAAAATACTCCAGGCCCTTTTGCTGTTGTCTTCTAACAGATTTAAGGTTGGCATGAGAGGCTGCAGGAGAAGAGGCCAAAATACGGCCCAGCTGTGCTCTTCCTCCTTTGCAAGCAGCATATACTCTACTCATTGCCCAAGCAAACTGGCCAAGGTTTTGATGGCTCACCTGCTTGCTTTTCACAGAGGTCAGGAATTCCCCACTTTTCCATACAGCTCTGAGATATGTGGCTTGGGAGCTGTTGTCTGAAAGGGGCTGGAATCGTCTGCCCACCCAAGATGAGTTTTAGTACTAGATACAATGGGAAGACATGGGGCTGGTGAGAGATGAGTGCAAGACACCCCCTGTCCGAGGAGGGCTAGCTATAACCAGGGCACCATTCAGGCAGTTTTGAACCTCCTTCCAGGGGCCGGGCCTGCAGCTTCCCAATTCCTCATTAACAGGCAATGAAGGACTGTTTATTGCCCCATGACCATACAAATTGGTCAACAACTTTGTTACTCATTCATACAGATTGCCTAGTCATCAGCCTGTAAGGCTTTCATTATTTTTCCAGAAAGCCATGTCTCAGTCAGCTTCCCGTCTTCGTTGCCCAAACCATCAAGAACCACAGAGTCTTGTTTGCAAGTTAGCCTCCTTCAGTTTTGGAGATGCTGCTAGAAGGCATGACACTCCTGGGTCAGAGACAAAGGACAGTTTACTACAGTAGTAGCAGTAGCCAGAGTCTCAGCATCTTCCTGCATTGATTTTCCAAACCTAAATTTCAAAGGAGGCCAAGGGACACCTGCACTTGCAAAAGGCTCTTCCAAAAGGGGAACCCTGAGCTTACAGAGATTGAAGCTTTTCTAATGGGCAGCACACCCACCTGCCTTTTGCTCCAAAGGGGACACTATCAATGTCTTCCAAAGCTATTTGCTATACAAATATCCTTGGAAAGATGGTTCAGAACAAAGGTAGTCAGTATCTCTGCTTGCAAGACATGCAGAAGTGCAGAGACCCACGGTTAAACTGTCTCCTAATAATATACTGCCAAATTACCCTGTAAAAAGTTTACCCCTTCCACCATTCCTTGTAGGAGAGAGTGTCTGCTGAATCCTGGGTGTCAACAAGGATTCAAATACTGCCTCCCCTTTAAAGATGACCTTTGGTTCTAAAAAGTACAGGAAAGCTGCTTTAACAGGTGGTGCTAAAGATCTGCCTACCCTTCACCCACTCACATTTACTGAACTCTTACTAGGTGCCAGGTACTGGTGCTACAGCAGTGGAAGCAGGCGTTTGAGTGCGAGTGGGAAGGAGTGGAGGTGCTCCCTTAGAAAGTGGTGACATTTGGCCGAACTCGGCGACTCAGCCTGTGATCCCAGCACTCTGAGGCAAGTGGACTGCCTGAGTTGTGGGTTTGAGACCAGCCTGGGCAACTTGGTGAGACCTCGTCTCTACAATAAATAAAAAATTAGCTGGGCACGCTAGCACACGCCTGTAGTTCCAGCTAGAAGGCTGAGGCAGAAGCTGAGGCAGGATTGCTGGAGTCTAGCAAGTCAACACTGGGGTGGCCGTGAGTGTGCCACTGCACTCTAGCCTGGGCGATGGAGTGAGACTCCAACTAAAAAAAAAGAAAGTGGTGACATTTGAGCAGAGCCCTGAGGGAAAGGACAAGGGAGCAAGTACAAAGGCCCTGAGGGAGGAAAGGACTTTGCCAGGTGGGAGGTACCAAGAGAAGGATCTGTTGTGGAGATAGAATCAGATGGAGACATCAAGCCCTGGTAAGCCAAGGGGCTCTAAACAACGTGGAGAGACTTGTTCACCAGATCTCCCAGGGCTGTGGGAAGCACAGGATTTCACCAGGGGCTCAGGACAGAGCCTCAGGAAGCAATGTTCAAGGTGCACACTGGGGTAGCCAGGAGGGAGGCTGAGGGGGTAAGAGAAGCTATGGGAGGAGCCACTGGTCTGGACCTGTGGGGATCTCAGCTTCCTTTTCCTGGCATTGAGGTTTTTTTCCATGAACATTCCAAGTTCATGCTTGCCCTATCACTTTGCCCTTAAGGACCAGCAGCTGGCCCTGATGTAGCATCTGGGCTCAGATCTCTGCCCTGGTCTGGCCTCTTGGCTTCCAGTGAGGCCCCTCCGAAGAGTCCTTGGTCTGTCCCCCCTCTATCCCCACCCCACTTGCTCTGGACAGCCAACCCCACCCAGGATTCACCACCCCACCCTCTTCTGTCCTTCCTGCTTCAATACCTCCCTCATTCTGTCATGTTTTCCATAATTGCATTCAGTGCAGTTTGCTTGAACTGTGTACTGAGGCCCTTCTGTCTCCAGCACCGCTGGTCCAGGCCTTGCACAAGCATCAAGGCCTGAGCGGAAGGGATGTGGGCCTGGAAAACAGAAAACTGGGTATGGAAATTTAAGGATTGGGATTCCCATGTGCTCATGCTGAGAAGGGGACATAAATTCTGCAGGCTAATACAGCTTTGTAAAGGCTACCTAGCAGCTGTCACCATTTTGCAGTGAGAATGTTTATTGAGAATGGCTCATTACAAACAAAATATACTTAGGTATAAAATCTGTGCGATGCAAAAGATCCCTTTCATCCCCCTGTGGCAAGAGTGAAAAAAGCCCACTGTCCTATGCAGCTTCAGGGGTTGTCCTAGGTCCCAGCATGTGGATAGGCTGGGCAGCTGTGCCATAGGCAGAAGTCCCTGAGGTCCAGGCTCTCCAGTCCAATTTTCATGACTTGTACAAGAATGCAACAGTGTGACTTGCATCCTGCCTCCAGGACTCTCCTCAGGCAGTTAGCTCTTGGGAACAGGCAGCTGTCTCATTCACCTTACAGGCAGATGACCCCCAACTTGTGGCTTGCCCTGAGAAGTCAACCTCTGGACCCAGTGACTGAGCATTTCTAAACATCCCGGATGGACTCAGGTGCTGTGACTGTGCTCCATGGAGGTCACTCCCCGTGAGCCCCCCAGCTCACTGCACCTCTCACATGTAGCCATCCTGAAAGCTTCACCTCCTTCTGCCGGTTTCCTTCACACAGCTCTTCTCACCAGTTTTACTCGATCCTGTGTGTGACCACCCCTGCAGCTGCTGTGCACAGTATTCCTGGGCCTGGAGCCAGAGCTCCCTGGGACCTGGGCCACCCAGCATTAAGGCAATGGAGATGAGACCAATCTGAAGCCAACACCAGTCCTGAAATTGTGGGGTGGGAGTGGCGGGGGGAACTGCCCAGCTAACAGAACCGCTCTCTCATCTGGTATTGTGGAGCAATATGGCTGGGTGGTCTGACAGCCCTCAGAGCCACCACAGTGGGGGAGGGGCCAGCAGCTGCCACTGCACCATGCCTCAGGCACTGGAAGACAGGGATCCAGGAGTGCTGCAGGAATGGTGTCGCTGTTGCCCTTTGCCAGAGGAAGGCCATAAGGGGTGAATGTCCCCAGCCCCTTTGGGAATGATCCATTTCCCTTATTTTTTTAGGTGCAAATCTGGCTTCAAGATGCCCAGTGTCCTGGGCAGACTCTCCCCAGACTGGGCCACCTTCCTCATCTGTGAGGTGAAGGGCCAGTACTCAGACCACCAGTCAAGTCCCCTTCTTTTTGAAAAAGAAGCTGGGCTGGCTTAACTGCCCTGTGCAGAGGTGTTAGTGGTTCCAAAGTACCTTCACTCTTGCTATTATTGTTTTACTTGAAGGTGAATCTCAACCTTCAAAAATGAAAACTTAAGGGTCAAACAAAACAAAATACCTCCCCAAACAACAACAACAACAAAAAAGCAGCAAAGTCTATGCTATTTGCTGTGTTATGTGATCCTGGGCAGTCGCCCCCATTTCTTAGTCAAGACAAGAGAGACTCAGTGTTCTGTGCAAAAGGTGCTGGTATGGAGACCAGGTTTGTGGGTGACTGCAGACTGCCACCTCCCTGTCCATTGCTTCAGTAGCCAGGCCCTAGCACCCAGCTTCGAGGGACTTGAGTCTCCCTATGCTCAGAGAATGGGCCCCACTGTCAGGATCTAGTCTGGTGTCAAGAGGCCTCCTGGACACAGGGGATTCTGGGGCCTGGCAGCTATTTATTCCCAGAGCATGCTCTTGTGCTGCTGGCCATCAAGCCCACAGTGGAGTCCAGGCCCAGCCCGTGCCTTCAGGGACCTTCTACCCTATAGAGCTGGAGGACCTGGAGAGCTGTGGAAGGCCTCAAGAGTTCGCAGCAACTGGCCTCTGCAAAGCAGAGTGGCTGTGAGTTGCATCTATACCAAGTGGCAGGGCTCAGAGGCCTTGGAACTGGCCACAGACACTTGGGAGGAACAGGGGCATCCGCCAAAGGGCATGGAGGAGTCTGCAGCACTTTTAGGAGAGAGGGGCCTGGAGTGGTCCTTGGCCCGGGGGCTCAAGGTCAGCTATGCTGTTTCCAAAACCTAGATGCTATCTTGACAAACAGCATTAGTCAAGCAACTTCTTTCCAGGCTCGGTCCTGAGATCTGTGGGGAGATCAGCTCAGGCTTCTCCCTTGCCTTGGGTCCAGCTCGAAGGCAACAAGCATACCCTCGGAGCTGGACTTCCTGTGGGCACAGTTGGAGTGAGGCTTGGGGTCCTGAGGGAGGCTCCCCTCAGATACTCTGGGGACGCTCCCAGCAACAACAGGTGCTTAGGGTGAGAGGCATGACAGCATACAGCACTGGCTGACAAAGCAGCCACGCCACAGACTCCTAGAGTTCCCTGGGGCTTTGCCAGATGGGCTGAAGCTGCAGCTCTGCATCCCAGTCCCAGCAGCTCCAGGCCTGGGCCAGGGCATCCTGAATGGGCCTGGCTGGGGTAGGGGTAGGGTCCAAGGGCCTGGGCACACCAGGCTCCTGCTGTCAGCTGTCCAAGTAGACAAAGAGGATGTCTTCGTCTGTGCCATAGCTGGTTCTGGCCTCCTCAAAGTTACTGATGCTGGTACTGCACATTCCTGCCGGGGGAAGACAGAGCGGGGTCAGTGGGTGGGAAGATGACACTTGCCCCACCAGTGCCACATTCAGGGGAGCTGGGTGAAGTTTATGCCACCTGCATGGCCACTCCTCTTGGCTCAAGTCCTCCATCCTCAGAAAGCCCTTCTTGACTACTCTGGCCTTTATGAGCTTTCTGACTCCTCCTCAGTTTAGCAACAGGAGAAAGTGAAGCCCAGAGTAGTGTTCCAGGCTACACAGACTGGGTAAGTTTGTGTGTGTCAGGACGGCCCTTCCCTGTGCCCTGAGAGTAGTGGACAGGCCTAGGTGAATCTGGAGCAGAGTCTGGGTCAGACTTTCCTTTCAGATGAATGTACTGGTTATCCTGGGAGGACTGCGTGTGGGTGTGGGGGTAGAGGGGACAGCAACCTGTGCAGTATGAGACAGTGAGTCAGGGGGAGTGAGTCTGGCTAGGGTGTGGAGGAAGCTGGTATAGTTGCAGGTTTGTTTTGCCTGCATGGCCAGCAGGGGTAGATAGGAGCCAAGAAGAGTAGGGACTTTGAGAAAAAGGCTGGAAGGGAGGTCTTGGCCACACCAGGTTGAATGGGAGGGTGTCATGGGGGCCAGGCACACAGGACAGTGAATGTAGAGAGCTCCGCCTCCCCACCCTCCCCGAGCTCACGGTCAGCATAGGCTGGATTGTTGTAGAAGATGCAACCAGTGGCCCGGTTATAGCCACGCAGCACGATGAAGTGGCCCTGGTAGTCGGGTGTGCGGCAGAAGCAGCGGTGGCCACGGGGGGCAAAGCAGCAGTACTTGATGGGACTGGAACACAGGTCGCAGTGTAGCACTCCTGAGTTCACCAGCACGATGGCCACGTGACCCTGAGCCAGGTGCGCCTGGATGTCCTGCACGCTCACCGTGCTGTGGGCAGGAGGGTGGTCAGCTGGCACTCCTGGGCCCCCGTTCCCCACCTCTCAAGCGTATCCCTGTTTGTACCAGTTTTCCTGCATTACAAATCTTGGAGACCTGGCTCCTCTTCCCTTTGCCCTGAGGTCCTTGCTTTGTCAATCCAGAGCCAAGCACAGGACCAGTGTGTGTGTGTCCCCGAACATGCATAGGATGAGCTGTCAGGCCCTTCTCAGGGACGGAGAGGTCAGTTCCAGGTGGGCCCAGTCAAGGGCCACCAGAGCAGCACATGGAGCACCATGCCCAGCTTGGTTAGTGCACTCTTTTTGGCAAGTCCTGTCTCTCCTCTTCCCTAACTCGTGTGATTTACATTGAACACTGCTGGCCCAATCTAATCCCCAAAATCTGAGCTCAGCATGGCTTAGCCAGTTTCAAAACCAAACACTTCTCTAAAAGGGCTATTTTACTTTTTTTCTAAGCTTCTTTAGAAAGGGGCTGCCTAGGAAGGGCTGTTGGAAGTGCTTCCAAGGGAACCCCCAGTTCAGCAATGATGGTTGCCTGGAGCCTCCCTGGCCCCTGCCAAGGCAGACTCACAGGCGCTGCCCCATTCTGTACTCTCCAGTAGGCAGCAAATCTAAATAAAGACCCAGAAGAGGCTGGGGCCTAGGCCAGGGACTCCCCTATCCTTGCGGGTGGGGCTGCTCACCCACTTGGGGCCCACTCAGGAGTGCTAGCATCAGCATCATGTGGCCTGGCTCAGCTCCAGCCACAGCTGAGTCACGTGGCAGTTTGGTTTGCTGCCTTGGCTGAGGAAACATGCCATTTTTCCATTTGGTCTTTGAAACTAAATAACTGGCTGGATTCTCAGTGGTGTGTACAAGAGTGGGATTTCAGCTGCAGGGAAAAAGCAGGGGCTGGGTTAGAAGGAAAAACTTTAGGCTTCATGGAGTAACAAGCATGGATTCAGATCATGGCAAGTCCAGGATGCTGGAGGTGGCTACAGGTGGGTCTTTCCCATCTTTAGTTTCTTCCCCTCAGAAATAGGGACAGCAGCAGCCCTCCTGTCTCAAGGAGACAGCGCCTGTCAAGTGCTGCTAAACAAACATGTGCGGCCTTTCCTTCCAACCTGTGCTCCTGTGACCAAAGGATGAGTGGCAATTCTCCCATTTTCCAAATCATGTATCATGAGGTTACATTATGTCAGTAATGAAAATGTGAATCTATTAATACAGGGAAATTTTTTGTTTTTTTTTAGTTGGAGTCTCACTTTGTCACCCAGGTTGGAGTACAGTGGCATGCTCATGGCTCCTGCAGCCTCAACCTGCTGGTCTTGGGCGATCCTTCTGTCTCAGCCTTCCATGTAGCTGGAACTACAGGTGTGCGTTACCATGCCCGGCTAATTTTTTGATTTATTATAGAGACAAAGTCTTGCCAAGTTGCCCAGGCTGGTCTCGAACCCCTGGGCTCAGGCAATCCAATCCCCAGTGTACAGATGAGAAGGGGGAGGCCCTTGTGAAGTAACAGCAGCCCAAGGAGCTAGGCCTCCCTAGGCAGCTTACACGCTGGGTCCTCCCTGCTCCCTGTGCTGTCAATCACTGTACCAGTACATTTCTCAGGCTGTCACACCTTCATTAGGGCTCCTGTGTTCTGTCCCATGCTGCTTTTCGGTGAGTAGCCCAAGGGCTGGCTGCAGTCTATCTTGCTCACCTGTCCCTTCTGCACCTGCTCAGGATCCACCCCAGGCCAGAGCCTGGGTCATGTCGCCCCACTGATCTTCATTTTATGGATGAGGAAACCAAGATCCAGGGGGCAAGTCAGTGCCCATGGTCACCCATGTCGAAAGCCCCAGTTCTGCCTGATGCCAGAGTCCTGTCCTTTCTCAAGTGCCATCCCAAGGCATTCCCCACTGCATGTCTGTGGGTGCAGAGAGGGTGGGACTCACCATTTCTCTACCAGCACCTTGCAGGCCTTGGCTTGTGCAAACAGTTGGTTCACCCGGGTCTCCTCTGTGTCAAAGTGCTTCCTGTAGAAGGACTGAGAAAAAAGGGTGGGCTGGAGCAGCTGCCACCTTAACTGCCCTCACACTATCTGGATGAAGTAAAGAGCATGTCACAGGGACAGAGATGCCCTGCCTGCCAGCACAGATGGCATACAGAACATGCCTGATCAGAAAACTGTGTCTATCCCCAGCTAGGGAGTATGCAGGACCACACAGAGACATAAGAAGGACGGTCAAGAGACAGGCAGGCAGCTGGGCTCAGGTCAGCTACCTAGGGAATATTAGTTACCATGGGCTTGTACAGTCAAATGTGCATGAACAGGACCTGCAGTAAATAAGTAAAGGGAATGAGACTGAGCCCACCTAGAATGGGTCAGCCACAGCTTGGCTTAGCCAGGTGTGATCCAGAACACGCTTTGTTGGCATGGCTACATTGGCATTATTTTTTAATTTTTTTTTTTTGAGTTGGAGTCTCACTCTGTCACCCAGACTGGAGTGCAGTGGCCACTGCCAGCCACTGCAGCCTCGACCTGCTGGGCTCTGGCGATCCTTCCACCTCAGCCTTCCAAGTAGCTGGAACTACAGGCGCGTGCTACCACGCCCAGCTAATTTTTTATTTTATTGTAGAGATGAGGTCTCACCAAGTTGCCCAGACGGGTCACGAACCCGCGGGCTCAGGTGGCAATATTTTTCAAAAGAAAATATTTTGGTTTTTTTCCAGAATATCAGTTACCCAGTTTAGAGCTGGCTGTCCTGGTAAGAAAGAAGAAAATGGGCAAATGATGGCTGGACAAGATCAAAGTGATGCGCTTGGAGGCCCTGGGCCTGTCTTGTGCTGAGGACGGAAGGGAAGGTTGCAGGAAGTGGCCTTGGCACATCCCCCAAGGGCTGTAGAAGGCAGGTGGGCAGGAGCCAAGACCAGATGCTCAGATTCTCTGACTGGTTGGCAAGTCCTGCTCATAGCCTGTCTACTGCTGCTCCCTCATGTCTGGACACCTGGGTGTCCACTTGGGTGTCTAGGCCTTGACTGCTCCCTCTTCCAGCTACTAGAACCGGGTGGCCTATGCCTATGTGTAACCCCTTATGGGAAGACCCGATGGCCAGCCACTCACCTGGTTCTTATAGCCCTTATCAACACCCAGGGTCTGGGTACAGAAACGGTGCCTCACGCCAAAGTGACGCATCAGATAGGCTAGGTCGATGGTCCAGATGCTCCTGGTCAGCTGCAGCTCCTGCAGGGCACTCTCAAACTCACTGTCGTCCAGCTGGCCTAGGTACCTGTAGGCCACAAAGGTCAGCTTGCTCTTGAAGGGAAGCTGGCAGGGTGCCCTCTACCCGTGGGCCCAAGGAGCTACTGTCAGAGCCCCTGCTCCCCAGAAGCCTTCCACTCCATCATGAAACCTCACGTCCTGCCCATACACTGCCCAGGCTGCCTGGAGCACTGCCCTGGCCTTGGAGTCATGGGCCTAGATTCTGCTTTTCACATCTCTTGTCTCTTGTAGGCTGTGTGACCTTGAACAAGTCACTGTCCTCTTTGGCCTAATTAGTTTCATCTCTGAGATGAAATCCTTGGATCACCTCAGCGATACTCAAAGTTTTAGGCACAGATACTTTTGTTGACCCCCCACCTTGCCAGAATTTCCAGGATGTAAAACAGATGAGGAAGCAGCTGACTTGGGATTCCAGGTAGTCTACTGAAAACTCTTGTACAATGTGATGGCTACAGTCCCTCTTGGCTTGGACTGTCAAGGTCCTGTGATAGTCACACAGGTGACTGAGGTCAGGAGGCTAGAGGGCCCCTTTCCCAGTCATGGGGCTGCTCTGAGGGCCAGGCCTGGTTGCCCAGGACTTCCTGATCACCCCTGGAGTCCTCAGGCATCAACAGAGTGGACACCTGGAAGGTCTGGTCCACCTCTCACTTCTGTAAAATGAGATGCAGCTGAGATAGAAGTGGGGCCTCCTGCAAGCCCTAACCAGGGAAAGCTCTGTGGACAACAAATCCCACCTAGGTCTCTCCTGAGCCAGAGAGGTAGTATAGATTGGGGGGGAGGGCTGGGTCCTACTTACTGCAGCACCATCCTGGAGCAAGCCAGGCCGCAATCCCAGTGGTAGAGCTGCTGGATGATGGGCACAGGCAGCTGCACGAAGTCCCCTGTGCAGAAACAGAGGGAGGTTACAGACCTTCAGCATAGAGGTCTACACTGCCACTGCCACTCCTGGTGGAGCCACTGTCACAGACTCCTACCTAGACCCTGGAGGGGTTGCTCAGGGGTTTTCCCATGGCGAATCCATTTTCTCTTTTTTAAGTTGGAGTCTCACTCACTCTGTCACCCAGGCTGGAGTGCAGTGGCACACTCACAGCCACTGCAGCCTTGACCTGCTGGGCTCAGGCAATCCTTCTGCCTCGGTCTTCCAAGTAGCTGGAACTACAGGTGTGTACCACCACGCTCAGCTAATTTTTGGTTTATTGTAGAGACATCTCATCAAGTTGCCCAGGCTGGTCTCGAACCTATAGGCTCAGGCAATCTTCTTGCTTCTGCCTCCCAAAGTGCTGGGATTACAGGCATGAGCCACTGTGCCTGGCCCAATCCATTCTCCTTACAAAAGCAGTGATCGCTCCAAAACACCAGCCAGAGCAAGTCAGCCCTGTTCAAAATCCTCCAGTCGGTTGGGGTCCACATCTCTTAGCACAACATCTTTGTGACTGCTGTCCCAGCACCCTCTGCCTTCTCCCCCTCCCTAGGCCACCCTCCAGATAGACCATCACTGGTCATGATTCCTCACATGGCCTCAGCACACCTGGTCCTTCTACCTGGACACTCCTGACTTCCCATGCACCTAAGCTAACTCCTGCTCTGGGACATTACTTCTCCATAGTGCTACCTGCTCAGGTTTTGCACCCTGCTACATGCACTCACAGCTCCCCAGGCCTACCCTTCAACACCTTTTTGGTGAGAGCTCTGAGGAGGCAGAAACAGAGGCTGTCTTGCTTCCTGCTTTCATCCCAGGACCCGCACATATACACATATCTTAGATAAACATATCTGAATTCATGGCCCCTGAAGGTCTGCCTAATGCCAAACACCCCAAGACCATAGCCAGGAGGAGGGGACTGTCACTATAGTATGTGAAATGGTCCTGTGAGCTCCATTCCCCCCATTCCCTACCATGCCTTGATGACATCTCAGTCTGTCCTTGCTAGGCTGTGAGGTGGAGGAGAAAGGGCCCAACCTAGTGTTCCCGTCCCAACTCTGCCACTGGGTGGCTGTGGGCCGGGCAACTGACTTCCTCTGCAGGACTGAGTATGGCCATCCCTAACAAGGGGGACTTTGGTCTGATATAGTCAACCAATTGACAAATATTTCCCAAGGGCCTAGTAAGTGCTTGATGTGTAATGGAGATACAGTGGTGAGGGATGCAAAGTCCCTGTCCTGGTGGACAACAAAAACAAGCAAATGTAAGGGAAAAATAGGGGCCTAGGCTAGGGGAAATAGTGGGGGTGTGCCTCAGAGATGTAACAGTCAGGGGGCACAAGGTGGCGGGGCAACAGCATGTGTAGAAGCCCTGAGGTGTGGACAAGTGGGCACATGGCTGGCAGGACTCGCTTCCTCAGCAATCCCACGAATCTGGACAAAGTTCAGTCTAAAGAATCAGAAGGGACTTCTCTCTACCAATCACCACTCATTACTTACCCATGAAACCCATTCAGCATGTGAAAACCCAGCCTGCATTGTTTCCCCATCTCCAGAGTCTGTGGGGCTTCTTCTGGATGTATGACCAGCTCTGTGCACAGTTGCCCCAGGAGCCCACCTGCTATGGCAGCCCCAGCTCCCACCACACCCCTGCGTATGCTAACCAGGAGGGCCATTCACTCACTAGTCCTGGAGTCTGTCCTGGTCTTTCTGACCTGCTGAGTTCCAAACTCCTACCCTCCTGTGTCTGACCTTCCCGGCCTTCAAGGCCTAGCTCAGTTGCCACCACTTCTGGGGCCTTCCCTGATCCCAGGCTGGCTATGCCCTTTCCCTCATCTGCTCTCCTTTAGGCCTGAATCCTTGCTTTGGCTTATAGAATGTGGCTTTTGCATAGAGTTTGTCTGTGCTCTGCTGGGTTGCTTGCATGTTCCCAGGAGGTAGGGACCTGTGACTGTTCCTGTCCTCTTTCTCCTCCACTCCTCACTTCCAGGGCCATACACATCAGGACCCATGGAAGGTAGGCCACCTGCTAGCTGAGTCACCTGGCCTCTCTATGCCTGTTTCTTCCTCTATGAAATGGGCCACAGTAGATACCAGCCCACAGGGTGATACGCACACTGAGGACAAGAATGTGTGCAAAACCCTTTGCAGGTGTGATTGTGACCCTGCCCCACCAACTGGGGCCAGGCGTGATAAGTCCAGACTAGACAAGGCTTCATTCCCTTCCTTCCCCCTACCCCAAGTACCTCTAAAAGGACCCAGGCCCTTTATTCAAGGCCTGGGTCCCACATTCGCCCCCTACCACTGCCATGGATTCAGCCCTGCCTGACTCCTGTCTGCCCTCTGCCCCAAATTCCACTCCTAGTCCTTTTTCTGTCTCTGCACACAGCTGCTGGAAAGATCCCATCCACAGATTTCCACCACTCTTAGAAAAAAGCTCTTACCCCTCACCATGGACTGCAGGGCCCAACCCAACCAGGGTCCCACCAGCCTCATCTTGGCCCTGGAATCTGCATTCCAGTTACCACTGTGACCACAGCCATCAGGCTTCATTCTACCCCAAGGCCTTTGCATGTGTGGCTCTCTGTTTGGAACCTCTCTGTGTCGCTATGCTGTTCTCAAAGCCGCCCCTTCTTGTCATTCTTATCCCAGCTCAAAATCTGAGAGACTTTTTTTCTGATTATGTCTTTGAGAGGTGAGGGGGCTCTCCTTTATAGCATCCTGTTTTCTTCACAGGCCTTAGCAAAAGTAACAAAAACAAAAAGCCACCTTGTCTCCTCACCAGATTGTAAGTTTCCTGAAGGCAGGTGCCATGGTTTGAAACTTACTCCCCATTATGGCGGCATGAAGAGGTGGGTGAGGCCTTTTGGGAAGTGATGAAGTGGTGTGGGCTCTGCCTTCATGAATGGATTAGACCCTTATAAAAAGGGCTGGAGGAAACTATCTTAGGCGTTGTCCCCCTTCTGCTTTTCCACCATGTGAGGACACAGCATTTTCCCTTTTCCATCTCTTCCACCATGTGGGGACACCTAGACCATACCATATACAAGGAATGGGCCTTAGTCAGATACCTGCCAATACCTTATTTTGGGTTTCTCAGCCTCCAGAACTGTGAAAACTTAAATTTCTAGAGCTGGGTGTGGTGGCACATGCCCGTAATTCCAGCTAGTCTGGACTGAGGCAGGAGGATTGCTTGAGATCAGGTGTTCAAGACCATCTGGGCAAAACAGCAAGACCCCCACCTCAAAAAATAAACTAAAATTCCTATTGTTTATATGTTACCCAGTCCTGGGTATTTTGTCACAGCAGCTCAAATGGACTAAGACACAGGGAACTTGCTAATCTTGTTCACTGTAAATTCTCAGTGCCTGGTGTCTGATACTTAGTAGTAACTCAAATATTTGTTGGAAGAAATGAACTTACTAAATACTCACTGCATGCTAGGCTTTGAAGATACAAAGGTGATTAAAGACCCAAGCTCAGACCTCTAGGTCCTCACATTCTAAAATAATTGCCCACAATGAGCTGAGCAAGGGAGGAGCTCTGTGCAGGTAATGTGCTATCACAGTAGGTGGTCTCCTGTTCAAGAACCCATCACTGCAGCCAGATACTGCCTTTTTGTTTTTCACAACTCAGGTTGTTTTCTCCCTAGCCTTTGCTCTTGCACATCCCTTAGTCTGGGATGTTCTCTCCATCTCTGAACATCCAAATGCTCTGATCCCCTCCCTGTCAGGGCCTCTCAACATGGAGTCCTTGAGGTGGCATCTGCTTTCCCCTTTGGACAGACTGAGAATTCTCCAGCAGCAGATGGGGATGGGTTTGCATTTGCCTCCTCCCAGCCCACAGCCCAGAGTGGGTACTCAGACATGCTTGGTAAATAGGAGGCATTTTCCAAAAAGACCTTATCCCTTGAGATGCCCAGGCCTATTTGTATCGACAGTGGTTTCCTCCCTACCCCCAGGCTTCCAGATTATAGCTTCAGGCTCCCTCCTTATTCTGTGGCTTGGGCTGTGGTACTGACTAGCTGGGCCATCTTTGCTAGACTATGACCCTGTCTGTGCCTTCCTCTGTGCCCAGCTGTCAAATGTGGTACAGGACAGCTGTTCTTTATGATCCTTTAAGACTCAGCTGTCCCTCTTCTTGCTCTGTGCCCTAGAACCCCTTGATCCTGAGGTCCTACGGGGCTAAACAGCCCCACATGGCTATCCTGTCTTGGCATGGGCAGGTCAGACCTGAAGATACTGCTGTGGGGGTTGATAAGGGTAGGCGAGGCCTTGGCATTTGTCCCAATAACAGCTTTAGCCTTCCGAGCCCAAAGCTGCTGCCAGATCATTAATGCCTGGAGCCAAGGGGCTGCCCTACCTGAGAGCTAGGGTCTTCCTGGAAGGCCCTGGCCTGTCTTCAGATGGTAGCTGTCGCTAAGGAAGAAAGGCAGTCCACTGGCCCTGGATACTTAACCCCTCTAGGCCTCCGTCAGCTCATCTGCAGAAGTGCAAGTAACAATGGTAACCTACTTCACTTCCTTATGAAGATTAACGAAGCACCACATGTAAACAACTCAGCACATGTAAATTGCATGTAAACCATTTAGCATGGCACCTGCCTCCTAGAAAACTCCCTACAAATGTGAGCTATTACTCCACCGAGGCTCAGGAAAGACAAATATCCTATCTACGATCACAGAAGTAGATAATTGGAGAAGTAGGGATGTAAACTCCAGTACAGCATCAGATTCTACTCCAAGTTGCAAACAAAAAAGAACACTTTCCGGTGTGACAGTGTGGGCCCACTGACACATTAGGGTCGGGTCCCCACATGCTCTTGATTTCTCCCATGAGCTGGCACCTCAGCTTAGAGTTTATTTGCACTTTCCCTTTCTCATCAACCCTGTGCCTTAAGCAGAGCAGGAATCACATCTTCCCCCTCCCCTACTTCTTGAACAAACAAACTGACGACCAAGGCACTGAAAGCCAGTCTTAGTCTCCACCCCAAAGGGGCTCAGGCTACCGCATGGCAGAAGGAACTATAGGGTGAAGAACTGGAGCAAGACAAAACTCTGAGTCTGGGTGGCTAGGGGAAAGAACTCATGCTCGGTGCTCTCGGTCAGTTCCCTGCCTCTCTCGGCCCCGTTTCCATCACAGTTCCCCGAAGGCACGGGATCTCCCAAGGTGACAGCAGGACTTTCCGCTTCTGGGGAAAGTGGCGCCCCTGCTACCCCGACCCTCCCAACCATGCTGACTGGGGTCTCAGCCCTGGAAGTATCAGGTAACCCCAATTGACCGGAGCGGGCGGGGTGAGGGAAGTCGGCCCAAGGTCGCGCGGCTGGACCCTGCCCCGCGGTAGGGCGGGGTCCCCCTCGCTCCTAGGGTGAGAGCTGGGCCCTCAGTCAGGCACTGACCGGGCTCGAGCGGCGGC